TCTGCCAATTGACCGGTCGGCGGCGTCAGCCTCTGGTCCAGCATTTCCTTCACCACTATGTCCTTCCCCGACAACAATGGCAGCGACAATAACAGATCCCCTGGGTGCTTCCCCATCATCACCTCCAACGCCACCACTCCGAAGCTATACACGTCGCATTTCTCTGTCACCTTCATCGTGTAAGCAAGCTTTGCGTACAAAAAAGGAATTTTTCATCATTTCATTGGAAAATGGAGATGATGTAAATGGAATTACCAGGTGCCATGTAGCCATAAGTGCCTGCAACTGTGGTCCAGTTCGTCGATCCAGGATCGAGCAACTTCGTCGTTCCGAAATCAGAGATCCGAGGCTGGAAATCAGAGTCCAACAAGATGTTGTTCACCGTGATGTCGCGGTGGAGGATTGGAGGTTTGCAGTCATGGTGGAGGTAAGCTAGGGCATGAGCAATACCCTGTAAAATCTTCACCCTTCTTGCCCAATCCAGATAGCTAAGACGAAGGTAGGCCACCGGTGAGCTGGTTGTCAGAGAGATTTATAAATACCTGAAGATTGGACATAGTGCCGATGATCGGATCAACTCCTCCCGTCAAAAAGTTCGATCCGAGGCTAAGCTGCCGAAGCCTGTGCAGCTTTGCAAGTGAAATTGGGATTTCTCCTCTGAAGCCATTAACACAAGAAATCACAATGTTTAGAGAATTGAGTGAGAGCGATAGATTGACGAGCGAAGGCATGGCCTCAAACTTCTTGTAATACGTCAGTACTCGATTCCATTTCTTTAACGTTTTCTGTGAAAATATTTTGCAAAGAGCTCGACATCTTATCAGAGAAGGCGAAACTTGCGAGAATAGATCTAGAAGTAGCGATAACACAGGAAATCGTAATGTATGAAACTGGTGAGAGCAAAACTAGCGCCGACAGTAGCGAAGATGAACGCAATGGATGAATCTTGCGAGCGCGGAAGTAGCGACGGAAGTAGGGATAAATGAAACACAAGAAAAGGTGAACGGATTGCGCGCGAACGAGTGGAGACTCTCGCCACTGTCGCACACGAACCAACGGGGAAGACGGACGGGATATAACGGAGTGTTAGAAAAGGTGTAAAACAGGGATTTAAGTGG